CTAACACTGATTGATGGTAAGCTGGTGTAGGGTAAAAAACTAACCATTGAGTGATGGTAAGTTAGTGTAGGGTAAAAAACTAACAAATGATTGATGGTAAATAGTTTAGGGTCAAAAACTAACAAATGATTGATGGTAAGTTAGTGTAGGGTCAAAAACTATCAAATGATTGATGGTTAGTAAGTGTAGGGTCAAAAACTAACAACCGATTTATGGTAAGTTAATGTATGGTCAAAAACTAACAAACGATTGATGGTAAGTTAATGTATGGTCAAAAACTAACAACCGATTGATGGTAAGTTAATGTAGTGTCAAAAACTAACAAACGATTGATCGTAAGTTAATGTAGGGTCAAAAACTAACAACCAATTGATGGTAAGTTAATGTAGAGTCAAAATCTAACAACCGATTGATGGCAAGTTAATGTAGGGTCAAAAACTATCAACCGAATGATGGTAAATTAATGTAGAGTCAAAAACTAACAACTGATTGATGTTTAGTTAATGTAGAGTCAAAAACTATCAAACGATTGATGGTAAATTAATGTAGGGTGAAAAACTAACAAACGATTGATGGTAAATTAATGTAGAGTCAAAAAACTAACAATCGATTGATGGTAAGTTAATGTAGAGTCAAAAACTAACAACCGATTGATGGTAAGTTAATGTAGAGTCAAAAACTAACAACCGATTGATGGTAAGTTAATGTAGAGTCAAAAACTATCAAACGATTGATGGTAAATTAATGAAGGGTGAAAAACTAACAACCGATTGATGGTTAGTTAATGTAGACTCAAAAACTAACAACCGATTGATGGTAAGTTAATGTAGAGTCAAAAACTAACAACCGATTGGTGGTAAGTAAATGTAGAGTCAATCAACCGATTGATGGTAAATTAATGTAGAGTCAAAAACTAACAACTGATTGATGGTAAGTTAATGTAGTGTCAAAAACTATCAAACGATTGATGGTAAGTTAGTGTAGGGTCAAAAACTAACAACCGATTGATGGTAAGTTAGTGTAGGGTCAAAAACTAACAACCGATTGATGGTAAGTTAATGTATGGTCAAAAACTAACAACCGATTGATGGTAAGTTAGTGTAGGGTCAAAAACTAACAACCGATTGATGGTAAGTTAATGTAGAGTCAAAAACTATCAAACGATTGATGGTAAGTTAGTGTAGGGTCAAAAACTATCAACCGATTGATGGTAAGTTAGTGTAGGGTCAAAAACTAACAACCGATTGATGGTAAGTTAATGTAGAGTCAAAAACTATCAAACGATTGATGGTAAGTTAGTGTATGGTCAAAAACTATCAACCGATTGATGGTAAGTAAGTGTAGGGTCAAAAACTAACAACCGATTGATGGTAAGTTAATGTAGAGTCAAAAACTATCAAACGATTGATGGTAAGTTAGTGTAGGGTCAATAACTAACAACCGACTGATGGTAAGGTAAACAGCAACTTATATTTTCCCATTAAAACTTGTTTTGACACGAGTTTTGAAATATGTTAATCCTAATAAACCAAATGTTTACCTTTGACTCTATTAGACTACCATTGACAAGGATTAGTATCAATTCGAACGTTGCTATTCCAATAATTCCACCATAGGCAACTACTTCAGTGTGAGACAAGAAACCATACAATAAAGCATGTATATCAAGGCAAATAGTAGTAAGACCGCTCACTATATATCCCGAGACGAACGGCAGAAAGGCATCATCAATTTCTGTAACAAAACCGCAAATATCGAAGTATCGTTTCCTTACTATTTCTAATCTACCCACGGTGACGGCGGTAGAAAGAAGTTTCTCAAATTCCATATTTAGCCGTGTAAATTCTTTCATGATGATGTTGGTTAAAAACATAATAAAGCCATGGGCAGCGAACCGTTGAAGAAAGACGATTGCTGTTTGCACCGGAGAAAAACTAACACCAACCCACAATAAGATGGGGTCACTTTGAATCAATACAGGAGCAGTGAGGCAAGTGGCCTCAAGAAAAGGGGGATTTCCGAAAACAATTAAAATGCTTGCCATTGCAACGAAAACAAATGAGATCGAAATATATATCTTCATAAGTGTTCTACTTCTATTGAATCGAATGTCAAAAATAGGATCTATTCTCAATATATCATAAGTTTCTAGGAGTTTAGACAGTTTCTTAGGGAAATATACGAGACCAAGGAATGAATAAATAGCGCAAGATATATTTAAACCCAGAAAATTGATATATAAGCCAAGGTTTCTGTTTTTTATTTCATCTTCAACAACAGTTAAGCACCCAACTGGTTTCCAAAAAGCTAGAATGTTTGATGGTATAAAGATCGCAACGAAAATGAAATAGAAGCAAAAAAGTTTTATTTTGTTGGTGCTGAAAGGTCGCAAACAACCACCACAAATCGAAACAATCACCAATGGTTTAAAGTAAGTATAAGCCCAGGACGATTCTCTGTTCAAAATAGTCATCCTGCTACTTCTTTTGGATGTCACAAATTGTAATCACAACTGTCCAGGTTTCCAATCCATGGACTGTTCTAGTATTGTATCACAGCTGTTAAGGTTATAAGTGAACGATTATAAATATTATAATCAGATTCTTGAAAGACTAAATCATTTATGTAGATTATTATCACGATTTGATTATTATCACCACTTTTCTAAAACAAGATCACAATTGTTCAGGTTTCACTTAATAGTTTTGTTATTGTTATCATAATTGTTAGTTAATGGTTCAAAGATGAATATAACA